GATATGTGAATATGCATCCTCATACTAATCTTTATACTCTTTTCAGTAATAATCCTGATCAAAATATTATTCATGTATTTGTAGAACAATTACCAGGATCAGAAACACAAATTATTTAGATTTTTTTTTATTTGTATTCGCACTTATAATAGTGATATATATTTTTTATATGTATATTGTCATTCTGGCAAAAAAATATTAAATAAAGAAGGGGTCCGCTGGGCTCCTAATCATCTTTTATTTTTACACGATCGTGTAAATAAATATTTGTCACTATTTATATTGTTATTTCAATGTTTAGATGCAAAAGCATCCTCTTTTCAAGAGACGAATATCTAACTCATGTTATGCTGAAATAAAAATTTTATTATTTGTGCTTGAATAGGTGTGACATCCGTTGTCACAGTGGCGCAATAAGACAACTCTATTTTATTGGTTAAGGTGTGACATCAATGTCACAGTCAATCATATAAATTATATGGCCTGGGATAAATTTAAAATCGTTGTATATCTGAAAATTAGGAACTGGATTATGTATACATCCTAGGCGGTTACTGGTGAGATAATAGGAGATTTTATTTGAAAATTCTATTGTATTATGCAAATGTATAAAATATATGAATTACATTCTTTGTAAAATTATTCCTTCTAATCTATACGGGTACTTTTATTGGTGAAAAATGGACCCCATTGTCAGACAATCGCCTATGGCCTTCTCTTAATATATCATAAAACAACATCGTATTTTTTCTTGTACGTGCTTTCCAGGACAATATTGCTTTAACACCAACTACTAACTTCGAAAAACATTCCACAGTTCTTGGAATTTCAACACGTGCAAGTCCCATAGTAACAACTGTATCCTCGAAGAGAAATTTGGATGTTGATATTTTGAGTTGAAATTCATTTGATTGTAAACTATAAACTTCGAGATCTTTAATTCTATCTTTCACGTGAGAAGGTAATGCAAAGAATAATGCTGTAATAATGACTTTAGAGCAGTACTCTAATTTCTGCAGGTCTCCTGTCCTTTTACCATGTGTACTTATTGCTCCGTCTTCCTGCGCTAGAATTTCCGTACCTAATGACTTGAGGAATCCTTTTCCGTCTAATCTGGGGCCACCACGAGTAACAACATTTAAAATTTCTTTAAGTTTATTGTATGATCTGGACGCCACTTCTCCACATTTCAACCTCAAATCGGACTTTCCAAGGAAAGCGTTTCTTAGCATCGGGGTCCAGATATACGCATTGAATTCAGTTTCCGTTAGTGATTGTGTAAGTACGTCATTTTTGTACAGAAGTAAGAAATGGAGGAAAAGGTTTTCGACATAAATGAGATCATTTGACGAGGTTGAATGATTGATTCTATTTTTATCTAAACGTTCTTCTAATGACTTCAAATTATCAATGTTATCAAACTTTTCTAGATATTTTAAAACTCCCTCTTCACAATCCAGTAAAAATTTATTGATAAATTTCCCCTCTGAAAAATATATAGAATCATCAGTATTTTGCACTTGATCTGCTATATATTTCTTGAACCCTTGAGGCAAATATTTAAGACATTCGACATTGTGAATATCAATAACACCAATGGATAAAGGATTTTTTGATATCTGGATTTTGTTCGTAGTTTCCATGATTGAGCGTGCAAATTCCATAACATCAACATTATTGTATATTAGGTTGTGATCGGGAAGAATGTGCATTTGATATGATTTTAACACTTCATCGGCTAGATCATAGTTAATATATTTTCTTCCTTTGGCTGCCGATTCAAAAGACATACTACTCAATGATTTCATATTGACGCTACATTGATCAGTTTTGTTGTTATGCAGGTAACGTAGTCGCTGGTGAGTCTTGTGGTTGCACTTCGCTATTTCCAGAAGATGATATAATATCATCACCTGAGCCATTAATTATAGGATAAGAATTTCCCGGATCATTCAAAATACTTGAGAGATCCATTACAGGTACATTTGCCTAAATAGAGTGATATCTTTATATGAATCAATTTGCAAAGGCAGATGCTAAAAAGATACAGAATGTTATCTGATACAAAATTTCTCTTTACCTTAGGAAGCTGACTTTTGGTTTGCTCAACTGTCGTCCTATTTTCTCGAATAACCTTAATATGCTTTTCTAGTTGTTGGTCCTTAGTGTATATATAGTCCAACTAGCAAATATATAGAAGCATGTCAGTGGCAATTTCATAATTCGAATGCGCGAGAAAAATTCTACACACTTACATCCGAAGACTCTATCTGCCAGAGCTTTCTCTTCTTTTCTAGTTCTATTTCACGATTATTCCAAAAAGTATTTACTTCAGACAAATCTTTTTCATCCTTACAATAATAAAGCGTTGTTGGTTAGTATTTCAAATTATTTCAATAAATATATTAAAGCTACGAGTATTATTAAGAAAATAGCGATTGACTCTCGGTCAAAAACACACTACAACTCACGGTTCAGTAGTGCCTCACTATTTTTGGACTACTGATAAATCACTATTGACTCTCGGTCATCACTGTGCAACTTCATGGTTCACTAGTGTATAGCAACATTAACTCACGGTCTACCAAGAATCTTAGAAATTCTTGGCTCATCGGCAGTCCTTTTAAAAAAATAAATACAACCTTAAAGTCTTTCCATATCGACTTCGCCATTTCGCCTCTTGCCCTACCTTCATCAGAAATCTTTTTTACCAAATCGAAAAAAACGCTATGTTCGCGCACTTTATTGGAAAAATCAGCGAAATTTGCTCTCCATTCGAGATATCCCAAAAGCGACCAGTTGTTTGGGTGAGTTTTGTTAAAATATTCCATCTTGTCAGTTTTGTTCTGCGAAAGGGTATAAAGAAAGCAATCAACACCTTCGGACATAGCTTAATAAGTTTATATAGAATTAAGTAACGCGATCAATAGATTATAAGTCGCGATTCATCCACGTGATTAGGGTTATAAATAATGCCGGGAATTCTACGGACAGAGCTTAGGGACAGATTTACCAGAATTTTCGACATAATGCGGGCCAGAAGTTACGTTACCGAAAATTTTTCTTGGGTAGTTACAATCTTTTACGTGAGTGATGATTGTTTTACATCCGTGATTCCATCCATTAGTAATTTTAAAAAAAAATTCCTTCCTGTCACACAAATTGTGATGAAAAAAATTGAAAGGTAACATGACGAAGTTTCTATGCTGCAGTTAATTTGAAATTTACTAGCATATAGGGTAAGTACGCGAAAAAAAAACAATGAATTAATATAAGGCTATTGGTTATAAGAGATCGAAACTTTTGGATGTTAGACAAACAAACTTCTTAATTTTTTGGATCCTTTTAGGAATAACAATTTCTGGTTTTTCATCATACCATACTTCAAGAAAGAAAATTCCATTATCTAGACAAATGCAATGTTTTTGCCGATCACGATTAATGATGTCTTCGAGTTTTTTAACATCCTTATACTAGCTAGTGTTATGAAGCCGATGCTGAGCTCCTTGCACCTTCAATGCGATTCGATATCTTTGGAAGAAGGTATCAAGCTCTAATCCATTTAAGAAGAGGGGACGATATTCAATCATAGGTTCCTTATTAAGAATTTCTTTAGTTATCTGAATGCATCTAGTCTGAAATTTGCGATTTTTCTTGGATTCCAGTTCCTTTTCATATTCTTCTATAATTGATTTATTCTTTGTGTTCTGAACTTTGATTTCAAGAATTAAAGCCTCAATACTCTCAAGATGGTCTGGGTATTGCGAACTAAGATGTTTTAATTTTACTATATAACTCTCAAAATCTGTGTAATATTTTTTGGTAGATTTTAGAAACTTAGCTTTTTCAGCTTTAAACTTGGCATTCTCAACTTCAAACTCGATAATCTTAGCCTTAAGCCTGATATACTCAGCATTCTCAACCTTAAGCCTAGCATACTCAGCTTCAAGCTCAGCTTTTTTAACCAAAAGCTCAACTCTTTCTTGCTCTAATGATTCAACCTCAGGTTGCATGCTTTTATACACAAAGAGAATTATTCAATGTTTTATTGCGAATGTAAAAAAAGACTTGCTTTATTAATACAGAAATAAAAAAATAATTACAATGATCAAGACTTTGCCCGGAATATATGATTTTTTTTATATTATTGTCAGTCTATATATATGATTATTTTTCGAACAAGACAAGACTATCTTATTTATCTTTTGTTTTTACCTGCTTCAATGAGTGCTTAATTACTATAGGTCAGAAAAGTCATAGCACCTTTGCATTAGTAAAATGGTGGACAACTAGTCATTTACCAGTATTTTTGTTTAACATTAATTATTCGAGAATTTTCACATATACATTGCCTATATATTCCATTCGCTACTTTTTTGCACATTTTACAATATAGGTGTGAATGATGATTGCATTCGTCATAAACCTTACACCCATGCTTCTACTCTCTAAAGATATGCCACTTTTTGATGTAATTTTTCCTGTTTTTATATGCATTCTGATTTTTCATTTTGATATATTAACATAACTAAAATTTCTTTACAAAAAATCAATGTGTCATGATCCATTATTTCAAAAAATGGCACTTTATACCTATGCCCATATCATAAATAAATTATGCATAGAGTCATAACATAGGTTGTACAATAAGTCAAAAATAAATTATGATATACGATATG